CGTAGTCCGAACTGGCTGCCGTTGTGACCGAGACTGAGGTGGAGCCACCACCGAGAGGCAGCTGCGACACCAAGGTTTCCAATGAACTTGAGCCGCAAATGCCAGCGGTGGGCGTGGTTGCGGTGGACGATGTGGTTGCCCCCATTGTGGCTTTCGGCAGCATGAGGAAACAACCGAGAGCATTGTAGTTAAGCTTCAAAATGTCAACGATGTTTTTATCCCCATGCCGCAGCTTCCTCTCCTCCGGAAGCTGCTCGCCCGTCGGCGTCTCCACCTCATCGTCATCCTCGTTGTCCAGCATTTCCACGGGTATCGAGTATATTTTGGCAAATTCGTTATAAAACAACTGACTTGTCTTCAGCAGCTCGAAGTTCAGGGTCCATTGCAAGGCCGTTATGTAGAGTATATCCGCTGGCTTGTGACCCTCGAGCTTGACAGGATTGGCGACCTCATCTAGCCAGAATTTGCTGCGCGAGTTCTTGGAACACTTGTGCAGCAGAGCCTGGAAGAGCTGAGATGCCCGGTCACTGCTATTCAGCTGCAATTGGATAAGTCTCCTGCTCAAGGTGATCTGTTCCTGGCTGTTCTCGCCCAGAAACGCTATGTTATCGATGCCCACCTTGATGAGATCGCATACTCCCCGCTGGAGTTCGGGAATGGTTAGTAGATCCTGCATATAGCGGATGTTCTCCTCGTTGTAGAAAGCTTTAACCAGGCGAATGTCGCTCAGGTACATCACAAAGATGCTCAAACATTCGTGCAGAGCTCTGTAGTTCTCCAATCTGCTGGGCAACTGGAGTGGAGTCACTTTGCTATTCCTTCTTAAAGTATCCCTGCTTTCAATCAGCTCTTTATATTGCCTGAAAATGGGCAGGGCCACCTCCGCTAGAATACCAGATGCCAAGTCGTAGGATAGCAAATAGGCGATGTGTTTCAAGTGCTTCAGGAATAGCAACATGGCGGGGGTATTCAGCAGGGCTTTGTAGTTCTCCTTGTATATGTTCAGCAGATCCATGTGAAACACAGCCGACATCAGCTTATCCTCGCATCCTGGACAGCCCTGGGGGTTCCGTTTCACGAAGATGGTGTGCAGGACACTGTAGTGCAGAAACTTGTAGGCACACTTTTGATAAGTGCTGGTTAGTTGGGTGGCCAGTTGCAGGCAGGTTGCGTAGTTCCTGGCATTATAGTGGCAGCAACAGCTTCCAGTTCGGAGGAGACTCCTTACACTGTGCTCCTGGAGTTCCTCCTCCAAGCTGGGCAGGAGGTGATAGAGTTTTCCCTGGAAATAGCAGCTCAGGGAACTGGCCCTCGAGCAATGAAGTTGACTGTTTCGCTGCCTTTTATGTCGTGGATGTTGCTGCTGTTGCTTGGGCAAAGCGGTGGATGCACTGCTCTCCATGAGACTTTGCAGATGCTGTTCCTGGCGGGAAAGGTTATCCGTCAGCCGCAGCAGCATCTTGTAAATATGCAGGAATATGGTGGTGGAGAAGTTCGTTGATTTCGCTGCCTCCTGGAGAACCTCAAAGCAGGCATCAAAGTTTTTCACATCGATCTGATTCAGCTCTCGCACACCATTTTCCACCAGATTGTGGAGCGTGCCGAACATTATGTACAGTACTCCATGGGCCAGCAGAGGACTTCTTCGATTGGCGGTCAGTGCGTAGAGGAGCTGCCCGAAATTGCTATTGAAATCGTGGACATTCGGTTGCTGTTGCTCCAGCATGTAAAAGTTGTTCACACAGTGGGCTATCAGTTGCAGGAGCTCAAACTTGATGATCTCATCGTTGTCATCGGATGCATCGTTATCCAAGGTGGCGCACAAGTGTCCCAGGGCAAAGTTGTGAACCGTCACACTCAACTGGGACTCCTGCTCGGCATCTACACACCTGGTGAGCAATTGGATGAGCAACAGGGCCAGTTCATCGCTGCTCTTCGTTGTCCTTTGAAAGTCCTCGAAATTCGATTCGATGGCTTTGGATATGTTATTGGGTAATTGACTTCTTTGCGGCTGCTGTCGTCTCAGCTTTTTGCTCTGCGAATTGAGGTAGAAACTGCCGATGAACTGGGAAATGCTGGTCAGGGCAACCAGGGGCTCGTTGGACGGGCTCCACTTGCAGTTGGGGAACAGGTTGATGCACAGCTGGCACAGGCTCTTCTGGGAAGCAATATGCTGTTGGCGAAGGAGGATTAAATAAAATATTAATTATTGTAGAAACGAAAAATGCAAATTATTTAATAGAAATATTAGATTATATTACAAAATTTCTACCTATATGACATTTATGTATTTAAACGTATCTTCTTGAACTTGCCTTTATATCCACGCGCAGGAGAAACGCCAACAAGTGATGGCCCAATTCATCGGTGAGAAATGTCCGCAGGGCAAGAATCTTGTTGCAATCACTGGGAGTGCTGAGTATTAGCTGTGAGAATAAGTATAACCGTATTATACAAGTCTGGAAAAATGGGAACTACTTTGACCAAACCTGGGCTAGATTATGCTGCTTGCGCAGCTGCTTGATGCACTTGTCCTGCTGCTCCGGTTCCTCCACCGGACTGCAGATTTGAGATCTCTTCGCCTCGCTGATGATTTGATAGACCTGTTCCAACAAATAGGAGCAGAGCTCTTCGGGCATCAGGTTGAAGTGGCTAAAAAAGAATATAAATGTAAAATGTATTAACTAGAAAATCAAGTATTTGTTATGTTGGTTCCTAGTCCCGAATTAAAGATACCCATTTAATTTTTCACAACACCTGTAACCTAAGCTCCTTTTTCTGATAACGTTACCTATTAAGCCAGGCATCTTCCAAGGTCTTATCGTCCAGAAACTGAAAGTTGTACAGCAACAGCCAAAGCCAGTGGTCCTGTGGATAGGAAAACAAGAAAGGCAAACAGCGATAAGACCTGGGAATATCAATGGGCGAAGGAGAAACACACAAACCTTGACACTCGCATCTTCGAGCTCCGAGGCCTGGAGATATTGGCTCCACAGTCCGATCAGGGTATCCAGCAGTAGCTGCTCCTCCTCCACCTTCACCTCCATACCGGCCATGGAGAATCACAGATAATCACAGTCGCCTTCCAACGGGCTCGTCGAAGAGTCTGCTCCGGCTGGCCAGCAACTTCTTGGGCATCGGGTAACGTAACGTTGTGGACGCTTGGAGCGATGAGACCAAACTGAACGCGGCGATCGAAGGAGAACGCCAGCTGTAATTACAAAGCAAAGTCAGTAAATACAGTCGTACTTCTGCACTCGAAAACGTAATCTTTCTTACAAGAGTTTCAAGTGGTGGATATGAATGTAAATATTGATTTCTGAAGTATGTTTTATGGTTTTCAGACTAGTTAACTTAAGATATAATTGTACAGATATGTGTATATAGGATTTTTTTTATAATTTGAAGTCAATTATTAGTGATATTTTCAGGAATTCAGAGAAAAACGGGTGAATTTCCATTTAAAACTGGTTACGAAAATAAGTTGTTTCAATCTTATGTTTTGTATAGATAAGTTTAATTACTATTACTGCTCTATACAAATATACCAACTTGGGAAAGTAGATTTCTAGATTTCTTACCCTACCAAACCTTCTTATTGTTATTTGTAGGGATAAGTGGGTTTGGTAGGGTAAGAGATCTAGAAATTTTTTTTCAGGTATGATACTAAAAGATACATATAATGTTTTTCATTTCAAGCTATTATAATCATATGATAGCGAGCTTTTTAAATGGAACCCTAAGGCGTTTTAGACTTTGTGGTTAAGACCAGAATTTAGATAATGACACAAAGGCTTAAATAAGTTTTAAAGATCGTCTTATGGAGGCCTGACTGAACCTCTTTTGTGCGTGAGATTACGTGGGGTGATCAGGAGGATGAGGAGGTGGAGTGAGAGTGGGAGGAAGAGGCCACGATGATTGCTTATTTGCCCAGAGGCCGGTGATGTTGATAATTCGGTGCAGAGTGGAGTGGAAACTTTGGTTGTTGTTGCGGGAAAACTATTAAGATTGCTATTTATAGCGGATCGGTTCGGATCGGATCGGTGGCATTGCATCTGGGCAGCTTTCGGGTTGCCAAGCCGGTAAAATGATAGCGTGGGTTCGGTGGTGTCTCAGGGGAGCTCCAGCCGAGTAAACAGCTGGCGGTGGAGCGTGTCTGTAACGGCCAGTGGATCCGAGATAAGCTCGAAACTATGGAAACCAGGAGGAGGAGACCATCTTCTTTGCCACCTTATCAGAAAATGCAGTACCTTACATATAGAATACTTAACACTTGAACCGCACCAACTTCTATTTATCAACTGCGCAGCACCAAATTTCATTATTCATAGCTAGACCGCATCTAGTATTTGGGGTTTACCAAGTGTAAAATGTATAATTTATTAACCATATCCACTCACCGAAGAAAATTGCAATTTTCGTGGGGCAGCAACAACAGGTTTCAGGGCGACATTTTGTTCGGGGCTGGTCCTGTACTATTTTTGTTTATTATTATTTTAATAATTTTAGCAATTTGTTTTTGTTGACGCTTTGGTTGTGTGTGTGTGTGTGTGCTTCTATTGTTTGCTGCGAAATAAACAGAATTGTTGTTGTTTTTGCAGTCAGCTGATGGCAAAAATCGTTTTAAGCGTGGGCCACACTAGGAATCGATATCAATTCAAATCGATTTGAAAATAAAATTTCAAATATATGTTTTTAAATAATTTAATGGTATTCTATTTGATTATATTTAAACTAAACCCAATTTAGTTGTAAGTAGACCGTTTCTAACCCATCTTTCTTTATATTTAATTTTTTTAACATTTTGTATCCAATAAAATATTTAATTAATTTCTTACCACTCTTTAACTTTTGTTTTACTTTAATTTATTTATTCCGTTAAAACAAGTTAATTTTGTTTAAATTTTAATCAGCTCTTTTAGGTGAACTATTTTCAAATTTAAATTATCGAACTGGTTCCAAAGAACCAGCTCGCTGATACCTGTTGCGCTGCTCAGCTGTTTTCATTCTGGTTTCTCTTGATTTCGAGAACAGTTTGGCTTAGTTTTAATCCGTTTTTATAATTTTAAATAAAGTTAAGTTAAAAATGCTCTGTCGACTGGTGGGAAATAGCAATCTGGGCGCTCGATATTCGGCCTCTATCAAGGTAATAATAACTAAGTCATCCATAAATCATGGATTTTACTGGAACAGATCTTCCAGAAATAGATTACCTGACTTATTTATCTTAGCTATCTCTTGCAAAAGTAAATACTTAATTAATCATGTGATCTAAAAGGCGACAAACAGGTTTTCCAGCGAAAACATATCAACAGGTGCTAAAAAAATAGTTCCAGAAATAGAGTAAATATGAAGACCCCACGTATATGTATTGTTTTGATCTAGTGTTTCGTTGCCAATTGAGATAAGCATTATTTTGATAGAACCACGCGAGCAATCCACTTAATGATCACCCCACTGATTACCATTACCCCCCTGAAACAGTCCATTCGAATTAAAAATAGGCGAACTTACGTAACGATTTTGCACAAACAAGCCCCTCACGAACGCTCACTTATACATATTATGGACAAACCGCATTTTATGCTAATAATTTGATGTTTTTCAGGCCATAGCGTGCTACTCCACGTCGGGAAAACAGCGGAATGGAAAGATCTACGAGTCGGCACTAGATGCAGTATCCGATGTTAAGGATGGCGCCAAGATCCTCTTCGGAGGATTCGGCATCTGTGGTATTCCGGAGAAGATGATCAACGCCCTCAAGCAAAAGGGAGTCAAGAATATCACTGGGGTTTCCAACAATGGAGGTAAGACAATGTTTCTGGGATCAAAGAAAAATTCCAAAGAACTACAATAGGATAGATAAGATCTTTTATAAGTATACTTAAATTATAGATTCTGACTTTAGTTTTATAAGAGATTTAAAAATAACGCATTGCTAAAATTCCAATCTTTTCCAGGGGTGGACGACACCGGTCTGGGCGTCCTGATCAAGCAAAAGCAGGTGGCCAAGGTAATTGGCTCCTATGTGGGCGAAAACACTGAGCTGGTTCGTCAATATCTGGAAGGAGAACTGGCCGTTGAGCTGACTCCTCAAGGAACCCTTGCGGAGAAGATTCGTGCTGGAGGAGCCGGCATTCCCGCCTTCTACACGCCCACTGGTTACGCCACTCTTGTCCAGGAAGGCGGAGCACCCATTAAATACTCCAAAGATGGCAAAGTGGAGATCGCCAGCGAAAAGAAGCCCGTGAAGGAGTTCAATGGAAGGAACTATGTGATGGAGGAGTCCATCTTTGCGGATTTTGCTTTCGTCAAGGCCCAGAAGGCGGATGCCTTGGGCAATCTGGTGTTCAACAAGGCGGCCAGGAACTTCAATGCACCCATGTGCAGGGCTGCCAAGGTTACCGTGGCTGAGGTAGAGGAAATAGTGCCAATTGGAGCCCTCTCCCCCGATGAGATCCATGTGCCCGGCATCTATATCAACCGCATCTTCAAGGGTACCGACTACAATAAGAGAGTGGAGCGCCTGAGAATCACGGAGCCCAAGGACCCCAGCAAACCCACCCCGCCTCCTACTCCCGCCCAGGCTCTGCGTGAGCGAATTGCCCGTCGAGTGGCTCTGGAGTTCCAGGACGGCATGTACGCCAATTTGGGCATTGGCATTCCCGTCCTCTCGTCCAACTACATCCCCAAGGGCATGAGCGTGATGCTCCAGTCGGAGAATGGAATCCTGGGATTGGGACCCTTCCCCACCAAGGATCAGGTGGATCCAGAATTGATTAATGCCGGAAAAGAGAGCGTTACTGTGGTACCCGGAGCCTCCTACTTTGGCTCCGACGACAGCTTCGCCATGATCCGAGGTGGCCATGTGGATATCACCATTCTAGGCGCCATGGAGGTGTCGGCCACCGGCGATCTGGCCAACTGGATGATTCCGGTTAGTATATCTTGAAACCACTGAAGTACTTTCACTTAAATACACCTTTATTTTAGGGCAAACTGGTCAAGGGCATGGGTGGAGCCATGGATTTGGTGGCTGCTCCTGGTACCAAGGTGATCATCACTATGGAGCACAATGCCCGCGATGGTTCTCCCAAAATCCTGGATACCTGCTCCCTGCCACTCACTGGCAAGGGTGTGATTGATCTGATCATCTCCGAAAAGGCCGTTTTCGAAGTGGAAAAGGGTGTGGGTCTGACGCTGATCGAGGTGGCCGAGGGTTTCACCGTGGACGACATCATCGCCAGCACTGGAGCCAAGTTCACAGTGTCACCCAATGTCAAGCCTATGGGCCAGATTCCCGTTTGATGAACCATATCCAGGACTGCCCAGAGAAGCTGCAATACCTCAACTTGAGTGATAAACGAGTGCATTTATATTTTTTGTTGATCGTGTGACAAAAACATTTTTGTTGTTAAAATATACGTAGACCATGTCAAAGCCTATCCCACCCAGCTTAACCAATGGCCTTGGCCATATCCTTCAAGGCTTCCGAGCGATGTGCGTTGCGCATCTGTTTGTTGAGGATGTCAAAGATGCGATTGTACTTGCTGTCGCATTCCGTGCGGCAAACGGCGCAGAATTGCGAGGAGAGCACATGGAGTGGACTCCGGAAGTACAGGCCATTCTGCATGGTGAGGCTGTTCTTATGGTGCGATATCATGTGCAGCAAGATCTCGATGATGGCAAGCGTGGCTCCAATGAAGAAGTTAAAGCAGAAGAGCGTGGGCACCAGGAACAGCAGGTACTGGTTGCGGCTATAGCCTAGGATGATGTTCTGTAAGTGAAATATAACAAGATTTAAGATGAAAGTATTTCTCACTATGGAGTACATTGTTATGATATTATAAAAACTATATTTTACGATTTAACAATATTAAATATATAAGAAATTATAATTATGAAAGACATTTTATAGAAAATTAAGTAGGAACTAACACAGGTAGCTATTAGAAAAATGTTTATAAGACTTACGGTGCTCACACCATCCATTTGACAGTAATCTTCCCGCTCGTAGCCCGGAGTCGCCTTCTTGGGAGCCTTTTGGGGTAACGCGGTGGCGGCTCCATGTCTCACCGTGTTGGCCAGCACATCGTCCATCTCATCGCACATTGTTCCCCGGAGGAAGTGCTTGGGTACATGGAAGTTGGTGTGCTTTCGAAAGTGGACCTTCATGATCTGGTCGTGAATCGGCTCACCGGTTTCCTCATCGTAGGCAGGTCTTTTCACTCGGACGGTGTCTGTGTAGAAGTACTCCAACTCACCCGTTTCGCAGTTCTGGAGGAGATTGGATCGGAACAGATAATGTAGTGATAAGAGAACACTTTAAGAGAGCGGAAGAGAGCCGGGCAACATTCTACAGTGGCGTGATCGCGATTTTTGTTGTAAATTATGGGCGTGAATTTCGTGAAATTTGCAAGTCAGATTTATGGAGCCAAAATAGACGAAAGCTGTTTAACTGTTTTGGACCTATATAAAAGATTTAAAGATGGTAAAGGCCCCTTGAAAGTATTTAAGAGAAGGAAAGATAACTATTAACTAGTGCTCTCATAGATGGTAAAAATATCTCTATAAGAGTGCTGAAGAGAGCTTTTCTCTTAAATTCAACCCCCCCCCCCCCCCCACTTTTGTTTATGAAATGTTATCGGCGGTTTACGGGCAAAAAAAAAACAAAGCGCCAGTGGAAATGTTTTGGTAAATCCCGAAAACAGAATCACGAACAGCTTTTCTGATAAGATCGGGAGATCGGACACCGTGGCGTATGAGTTATGAATCACCTGCGACACCTGAGATTATTTGTACTATGCTCCCGACTTCTTACCACCAGCATGGTTTCTTCGGTACTAACTCTAGGCCCTCCAAATCTACAAAAGCTAGCGGAACCGCAGAGTCAACAAGTATTAGTTATCACTTTCGGTTGGAAGTCGGGCTGATCGACAGACGCCGCCCGCCTTATCGTTACTATTGGAATAGGGGAGGGGAACCTGGGGGTTACTTATCTGCGCCAGCCGCTACGTCTATTAATGTACAATTAAGTCCTATGGACAGCAGAAAATTTTAAATTGCATGTGCAATTACAGACTTTTTCACTGAATTTCCAGACATTTGTTTTTGCTAGTGTGGCATTAATAACTTCTGAGTTGCATAAGCACTGACCGGTTTGCGTGTCAAATGCGATTTGACCGGAATAAATATAATACAAACTGATGAGGCTAAATTGATGATCTTCCCGTAAGTGATCGAATAAATTGAGTTATTGGAGAATATCGTAGAAAACTGGCGAAGGCATTTAATCTAATTTAAGATTGACAGCTTGTTGGCATTATGTATCCTAGATTACAAAGGCAATTAAATATAATCTGAGCAACTGTGCTTTGTAGGCACTACAAATTCTAAATTCCTTTGTAATCACTAAGATATAAATTTAAAACATACAAATATTTTAATTATTTTACACCATTTCTAAAACCAGTTATAAAACCATTATAAAAAGTACATGTATACAAAAGCACAACGACTGAGCTCCTCCCCATTACTTTTGATGAGGCTTAATTACCTTATATTTAAATGCAAATTTAAGTCTTCGAAATTAGATAGAGATCTGACCACTTTGTTAGAGGAAATTCTCGGAAATCACTACTAAAATTACGTGAAACGCAAAATAAACAAAGTAAATTTTTATGACTACTGTGAGAATATAAATTGAAGTACAGATAGAAAGCTTTTAATGAGTATGGAGTGTACATGGTAGCATGATAATTTGGCTACTCCCACTTGAGTTAAGAATACCTGTTCACTTTCAGACTGATTAAATATACCTATATGTATTTCCACGCCCACTGGGTGGTCAGTTGAGGGTTATTTTGCACATATAAGCATATGGAAAAATATTATTAAATACGTGGCTAGTGAAGGGTTCTGTTTCGCTATTGAGGTATTTCAAAAGTTAAACAAATATGATATCGTATGCATTAGATAAACTAAATTCTTTACAACCAGAAAATATGATAAGCAAATCGATATTTGATCCTATTTAAAACCTTTTCTTTGGTGTTAAATCATTTATAAACTTCATAATCTGCAATTTTCGTAGAAATGTGTAAGTGTGTAACACAATAATTAAAATGTTTATAATTCATTACTTAAGAATTTGAGAAATATAACAACAAAGTTAATATGACTAAATTTTTTCAGTGTAAATTTAGGTAGATGTCTGTAGTGAGGACCCATTTTTTGTGACGTCTATTATTGACAAAGTAGTCTAATGTCAACTAATTTTAGGTATGTAAGCCTTTTAGCCCCCTACAAAAGACTGTAATGACAGATAAGCATTGTGAGCAACGAGACACAAGGCTAGTTAATCAATGTGACTAGATAATCTACACTGTATTTCGGTTTATGAATTTGTCTATTGCGTTCTCTTTTCAGGCTTAGAGGAGTCACAGTTGGCTTAGTGCTATATTGTAATTAACTGAGATTGGGTTTTATTTCTGTTTGGCCCGGCGTTTTATGGGACCTTAATTGCAAGCCCGAAAAGAACCGAAAAATCCCACTGATCCCGTCTCTTTTTATTATATAGGTATGATTCTCTACGAACCAAGATGGGTAAAAGTCCGAAAACTGGTTTACAGATCGCAACACACATACGCCCTGTGGGCTCTCTCTTCTCTGCGCTTTTATTTTTATGGTCGAATTTGGCACTCACCTTAATGGAATAACCCATGGCTGTCTGGTTAGTTTATTTTCACAGTTATGTCTGCGTCTGCCTTTGCTTTTATTTGTTTAATTTCCTTGGCCGAAACTATATTTTTCCCGCAAACCACACACAAAACCTCACACTATCGACATATATCTAGCGAATTCATAGATATTTGCGTGTGAGTGTAAATATTTTGATCCACTGCAACTTAAATATACAGGCAAGTAAACTGTGCAATGATGGAAATTTTGAAACCGGTTAACCGGTTCTCCAGCTGCTTTTGTTGTACCCGTTTCATTTGCCGATTGTGTATGTTTATTTTAGTCGAGGGGCGACCTGTTGGCTTTTCGATGATTTGGGAGAACCGCAATTAAATTTGCATAGCCACTCGGAACGACTCAAAATACATCTATCCGATTCGGAATATCTCGTTTCTCTTTGTGGATTCGAACTTTTTCCACACACGCACACCGAGCAAATGATTCTATTTCGTTGGGAGAGCGGTTCAGAAAGTGTGACCGCCTGTAGAGCGCCACTACATACCAGTTTAAAAAGCTTTCCTAAAGCTTAATAATATAAAAATACTGGAGGCAAATATTCTTTAAATCAAACGATCGGTTGAGTAGATTTTTGAATGTTTTTTTTTGTGTAATATATTATTGAAAAACCCTTATTCAGAAATTTAAAAAATTAACATAAGCTTTGAATTCATTCAAAAGTAGATGAATTTTTGTAATTTTGAAATGGATACATAACGACGTGGAATGCATAAGTGTAATTACTTAGGTTCATTTATTTTGATTCTTATTCTTATTTATTTGTCATCCTTTTTGTTTTTATTAGTATCACATTTAGACTTATCATCTGCTTCTTTCTTTTGTTTGTCCTCACATTCCTTTTTTTCCAAAGCATCCATGCACTTTTGTTTGAAATCTGAAAAGACGCGTAAGACCGACTGCTCTTCATCTGTCTTAGCCTTATTTTCTCCTGCTGCACATTTTTCGACCTTTTTCTCCTCACACCTTTTCTTCTTTTCTTCGTCGTCACACTTTTTCTTCTTTTCTTCCTCACACTTTTTCTTCTGTTCTTCTTCCTCACACTTTTTCTTCCGTTCTTCTTCCTCACACTTTTTCTTCCGTTCTTCTTCCTCGCACTTTTTCTTTAGTTCTTCCTCTTCACACCTTTTCTTAGCCTCTGCTTCCTTTTTGATCCTCTCCTCCTCGCACTTTCTATTAGCTTCTTCATTTTTCTTTTTCTCTACTTCCTCGCTTTTCTTTTTAGTCTCCGCTGCCTTTTTCCTTTTTTCTTCCTCTTCATACTTCTTTTTGGCCTCATTACTCTTCTTCTTTTCTTCTGCCTCACATTTAGCCTTTTCTTCAGCCAGTCTTTTCTTTTCTTTTGCTTTTATGTCGAATTCTTTCTTCTGGCACCAGGCCTTCAACTCCTCTTCAGTCATGTCCTCAAGTTTCTTTGGGGGTTTGCCGTCATCTTTCTTTAGCTGCTCTTTCTTTTTGATGTCCTCTTCTTTTTTCTTGCACCACTCTTTTAGCTCCTCTTCGCTCATATCCTGAAGATTCTTCTCCTTGGGCTTAGACTTCTCTTCCTCAATTTGCTTGGCTTGATTTGCGAGGATTTTATCACACTCGCCTTCCAATTTCTTCATGGTCTCCAGTTGAGACTCTTCACTTACAGATTCTTCATCCGCTTCTATAGATGCCTGAAGGCCTCCATCCAAACGCCGTTCATCGCGTAACTCCGTAGCCGTGCTTAGCAGATCCGTAAACGAGAACCGATGGTAGCCAAAGTACTGGGCATTCTTGTAGGGCATGGCTTTTCCAGCTCCTGGTCCTAACTTTTCATCGGGACCACTGAACTGACGAAAGGAGGAGGGACTCACAAATTCGGGCACATCCAATGCATCATGGTTTACACTGGTAGGTTGGTAATCATCTGGAGGGTCCTTCGGTGGGTGTGGAGTGTTCGACGGCTTGTTACTCAGCTTCGGTTTATCGCATAGCCGGCGAAAAATTACAGGTTGTATTAACGGTCGAAAAAGAATTTTCGACATTTTTGGCAGCAGCTTGTTCCAGTATTAATATCTATACAAAACGTTATTGTTGATTATAACAGGATAAGTAATTTTCAGAGGTTACTTTATTGGGAGGTAAAACAAAAAAGTTTTGTTTAATCATATATAGAATTTTTTATAAAGAAAACTATTAAATCCAAGCGTAGTTAATTAAAAAAGATTTCTATAATGTCTTAAAGGGTAGAGCTTTAAAGTTTTTTTCCGCTAAATTAATCAATTGGACCCACAGTGCAAGAGGGACGTAAAGTAATATGGAAACCAGAAAAGCTTTATACATTTTGTGGGAATATCGGCTAACTTAAAACTGTTGGTTTTGTTCCAGTCTAAGCTTTAATATATTAAGTAAAGAGTTTGATAATTATTTATTGTTGAACTCCCCTGAGGTTCAAAAACGATCGCCAAACTGGTTAGGGCCTTTATTCGGCTTAATTCTGATTTCATACTTTGTCTTTGCTCACAATAAAAAGTGCACACAGTATTTTGGCATATATTTCGTTTTGCTGGGTCTCGTTTTCCCTGTTCGCGGCTAAAAATGTTGATACGACTGATTACCTTACAATTATCTTTTTAAGATTATCAGAACGGTTTACGAACGAGAGGTGTTGAGCGGCTTCGACCGGGATCCGAAATTTAGTATCCGTCCGTTGGGCCAGGCATTCGGTCGAATTACCAAGATATCTGGTTAGGCCAGGATTTCGCAATCGCAAAAATAAAGATCTTGTCTCCCGGCTGCTTAATTGCGTGTGATAAAAGATTTATAAACCGGAGAGCTCAAGTAGCTTTATCAAATACTCGGTCGCTACTTTATCGCAATGAAGTGAGTCTTCGTCGTGCTCTTCTGGTTTCGGATTGTAAAAAAATTAGCTAACTGATGTGCAAATACATTAAATGACAAAACATTTGTCCCAACTAAATCTCGGTTAAAAATTTTATGTTTTTACGATTTTTAATTTTTGAAAAAACAATGTTTCGGAGTAACCGCCTTTGGTTTTATTGTTTTAACAACCCATACCATTTATCATCAATCAATTCACCTCAATAACAATGCTTAATTGCTTTCTTAACAGCGACGATATAAAAACCGTGACGGTTTACCCAACAACATTGGAATTAACGACCCCAACAAAACCAGCGAATGGCAGTAACGATGATTACGATCCTCATCAGCACCGCGATGTTAAGAATCCTACTACGTAAGCAAAGATTTTCCACTAGGGAGGATTTATGGAATATTACTCTATTTTTTTATGTTCCCCAGAAACTGGCAGACCTTTGCCCACTTTCTGAAGGCCTCTGTGGGCACTGGGGTCTTGGCCATGCCCAGTGCTTTTGCCCATGCGGGATATGTAAATGGCACCATTCTCACGCTGATCATTGGGTCATTGGCCCTGTATTGCCTGCATATTTTGGTGGGCTTTAGTTGTCTATTAATAATATTATGTCTGTTAATAATTATCTTTACTCTTGCAGATCAAATGCATGTACATCTTGTGCAAACGACAACGAGTTCCTTATGTCAGCTTTTCACAGGCCATGAATCTGGGCCTCAAACAAGGTCCACCCGGGCTGCGTTGTTTGGCCCCCATTGCCATGTAAGTAAATTCCTTAACACGCTGCATTGATTATCTTTCTAAGTGGATTTTAATGACGAACTCAAATTATCTTATCTTGTTTTTAATCAGTAGATTTCAATTTCGAGTAGTATACCTTGTAATATGTTTTCTATTTATTGTTATTGTTATTCATTGTAATGAATGACACATTTTAATGACTTTATTTGCTTGACTAATTTTAGTATCGATTTAAATTGAGTTTTGATAGAGTATGTATTCCTTATCAATATCATTTTAAGAGGCTTGTTATTAATGTGGCTACCTATTGAATTAAAGTAGAAAGGGTAAACCATATCTGTATAAGAATTAATAGCTAAAATAAAATGTTAAATCGTTTTCTTCCTTTACAGACCCTTTGTAGATGGCTTCCTGGCCTTTTATCACTTTGGCATCTGTTGTGTCTATGTGGTTTTCATAGCTGAAAGCATAAAGCAGTTGGTGGATGAATATCTTGTGGTATGGGATGTCCGAATACACATGTGCATAATTATAGTGCCACTCCTGCTGATATACAGCATCAAGAATTTACAGGTACTGGCGCCCTTTTCCAGTGCAGCAAATCTTCTTCTGCTTGTGGGTGAGTTTTTTTAATACTTTATTTTTTTTACACGCTAGAAAAGTCTTAAATTTTTATTCCTATTATTTTCAGGTTTTGGCATCATTTTGTACTATATATTTGAGGAGTTACCTCCGTTAAGTGAACGAAAGCCTTTTGTGGCCGTCGAAAAGTTGCCTACATTCTTTGGCACCGTACTTTTTGCACTGGAAGCTGTGGGTGTGGTAGGTATTATATATATTTTAATTGTATAAAATGCAAAACTTTATTTTTCTTTCTAAGATTCTAGCAATTGAGGAAAATATGGCCACGCCTAGGGCCTTCGTACGCCCTTGTGGAATTATGAATGGTGGCATGTCCATAGTTTTGGGCTTATACGTACTCCTCGGATTCTTTGGTTACTGGAAATATGGTGATGACGCCCTGGGCAGTATTACACTTAATATTCCACAGTCTGAAATGTGAGGTTCTCGATAATATTTCAATTTTACCCATTCAGTTTTGCATTAATTTGTAATTTTTTTTTCAGACCCGCTCAGGTGGTTAAGGTATTCTTTGCGATCACTACCTGGATTTCATATGCCCTACAGGGTTATGTTACTGCCCATATCCTGTGGGATAAATACTTGGTAAAACACTTTAAGGAATCCAGACAGACACTTTATGAACTGATTTTTAGGGTTATTATTGTGCTGCTCACTTGTAAGTGATAGGAAGTTTAACGAAATTTGATATATTATATATACATCACACATGTAATGGTGTCTAAAAGTATGCAACAATATATTTGAGGCATTCAAGTTAGAAGGATTTATTCAAAACACAACGTTCTTGTTTTGTTGCCTACTTTTATACACATTAATAAGTGAATAGAGACCCCATATATATTTATAAATTTATTTATATATTTATTTTTATTATTTTCAGTTGGTTGTGCTGTGGCTATTCCGGATCTATCGGTCTTTTTGTCCCTCGTTGGATCATTTTGCCTGTCGATCCTGGGCCTAATCTTCCCCGCATTGCTTCAGATCTGTGTACAATATTCCGAGGGCTATGGACCATTCCGGATAAAATTGATCATCAACGTGCTGCTTTTGTGCTTTGGCGTTTTTGGCGGGGTTGTGGGCACCTATGTGAGCATTGTGGACATCGTTGAGGTCTACAAATAAACTTCGAGTTTCAGCTTGCTCAATAAACTTTGCATTAATTTACTTTGATGATGTGCAATTGGGATTTATAGTGATTGGCCAATCGGCACACACGTTCTCAATAAACAATGTTGGTTTATGGCCTGCATATCCAAACACTTGCCAAAGTCGAGCTGCCAAAGTAGACCAAATATTTTTAATTTTAATTAAAAGCTTAGCAGCACAGGACTTGGCTTGGTTCGAGGAAAATTTGCGGGAAAAGTGGGAAACGGGGATGGGAGTGGAAATGGGAATGGGGAAAATGCAATGCAGCCGAGAAAAGCTGGGCAGTTGCAACGAACTGTAATTAAATGCAACCGCAATTAACACAAAAGCGCCGCAGGTCAGCAAGCCAGACACAGAACTCGACTACCTCCCCGTTCCGGAATCCAGCTGCATTTTATTTACAATGTTTTGCTCACAGGTTACAGACAACCCTGTCCTGCATCCTGCATCCTTCCTCGACCTCAACCACCCTTCCCACCCCATTTTCAGGACCTCTTTGGCTGTCTTTTGCTCGCATGAAGACCACAGAGAGCCGGACTGAGCCGCAATGACCGCCGGCCCTAAGAAGCCAGAGAGAAGCCAAATGGACAAACGCCTGGATGCCAGAGCGAGAGTCATTCAAAAAGATTTAAAATTACTTAGTACCACCGATTAGGGGTTATTATAAATAAATATATTATATAAAACTGGTTCTTAAAAATATAATGGCTCTTAGTAATCAACGAACAGTCGAAACTAGTAAAGCTAAGTACCCCAAACGATTAACATCCATTCTTGATATATTAAATAGAATTACTGAGATTCAAATTAAATTATTTTTATATTTTCGCCACTATTTTATATGTATTATAGTATTGTATAGACTATTTTCATCTTAATGAAACCTTCATTGGGTAGAGTCTAATATTTATACCAGAAGTTACAACGTATAATATAAGGTTTTTATAAAAAGTATATACATAGGTGACATTAGGTCTATTAAATAAATAAAAACAGGTAAAAATTGTGTAACTTATTTCATCAAACAACTGTATAAAATAAGCCATTTTTTTCAGAGACAATAATATATTAGCCCTAATTTGTTATACATTTTTTGAGCAACCCTCGCCTTTGTCTGCAGCCTTCCTCTGGCGCCCTGAAATGTGTTGAAATGTCGTTTGCTTTGTACGTTTAATTACTCTTTTGACGGAAATAACACAACATTCGTGTATTTGAAATTGGCAACAACAAACTGCAACATCGAGTGGGAAAGAAGGGAACTGGGTGCAGAAATGCAGCTGGAAATACCCGGAAAAATTCGGGGAAAGCCAAGTCTTGGAGTGCGAGAAATTGAACAAGTTGCAAGTGAGCCAAAAAATTACTGGCTCTTAAATTTCGCCCACGGATGGGGGGACTTAGGTCAAAATGAGAACCTTCCCCACGGCTTACGTCTTTAATTTAGTTTTGCTCTTAGAGGGTCCCCTCATCAATTTTCCTTAGATCCTTTTTGCTTTGACGGAGTGGAGCACATTAAATGACAAGTTTTACTCTTGTGCTGCGCTTATTTATTTCTCCGTTTTTATACAATTCCCCCTAGTTCTAGAGCATTTTAATTATATTTGTGCAGGCAGGCAGTCAGCTTTTAGTGCTTCCGGTCAGTTGAATCCGGGGGTCTGAGCAATTG